ATATCCTGATGTCGAGATGATCAATTAGTGGTGCATCTTTAATTCTACATTTTTAATATGCAACCTTATATAAACTTTTTCTTTTACTTTTGATACAAGGTGGTCACAAGTAATATTAACCATTGAATGTGAAATTAGGTAGTTGCATTATATACAATCCTTTTCAAAATACAATGCTTGTTATATAACAAATGTCATGTATAAGGAGGTCGCAATCATTTATGGCTGTTAGATTTAAAATCGGATTGGTTTGATATTTGACAGCTAGGATTAGTCATGACCTCCTTATTCTAAAGACATATGGACTTACAATATGCAATCTTTATGATTGTATACCATAAGACCATTTGCTTTAAGTGTAACAATGGGCCTTAAATGCCAGCTTTAAAATTAGGCTCCTCGGGTTGTGTTGCAATGTTTAAGATAAATTTTATTGAATTTGAACTTAGAGCTTAGTCAATAGCATAATCCTAGGGGCCAAATACGAAATACTACATTTAACAACTAAAGGTGATTGTTACTTTGTTATATGGGCCGTATTGAAGACTTTCCATATTTTACTATATCAGTCACTTAATAATGATGGTTTTTGTGGCAAAAAATGGAAAAGCTTACGAAATTATTACCAATGTATTTTGAACTATTGGTTGATGCATTGCCATATATCTAAATGGTGCAGGGTTTTTTGGGCCAAGGCTTTTCGATATTTAGGAAACCTGCACTTTAAAATCTTGTTAAAATGCGCAGTTTTAGCACCACGTGCAAATTTATTTCGGGCAAGCTTTCTATGCTTCCCCTACAGCATAAAACTTATATGTTTCCTCTTATCCAGCTGTCCATTCTAAATGGAGGATTAAGATTGCCTCAATTACAATGTCACGTCTCTACACTATTTATTATTATTATTATTATTTATAAACATTTTAACACCAAATTCTGGACGTCCAATCCTCTATTAAACTCTCACTAGTAAAAAATATAAAAAAAAAAATTTCAATAAAATAAAATAACCAAAATACCCCTGAAAGATTCAAGGGGTATTTTGATCATTATATTTTATTGAAATAATAATTTTAGTAATTTTTATAGGTGCGCCCCAATGAGAAGATGACACGTACCAAATTTCATATTCATGCAATTTGTATAAAAAAACTAAAAATAAAATACTTTGAGACGTCCGATCTAAGATCAAACAATGAGTGGCTCTCTTGATCAAAATTGGATGGCTGGATGGTAGGGGAAGCATAGAACTTATATGCTGCAGGGGAAGTGTAGAAACCTCTCTCATTTATTTCTACCCTTGATTATAGAATTCATAACTTCAAAAATAATGCAGATTTGCTGGATTTTTATATATTTAAAATGAGTGGTTCCAAAGAAAAAAGTTTCAAAACTGATCATTTTTAGGGTCTGAAATTCATTTATTCGTTAAAGAAAAATGTTTATATAAGGAGTCCACCTTATAATATATAAGTAACATGTACCTAAAAACCCACTAGAGAAGGTTGTTCCTATGCTGGAAAATCCTCAAATCGATCATCTTGGCCTCAAGATTCATAGACACGAAAAAAAAGGGATTTTTAGTTCTAAAAATAGTTCATCTTTTAACATATTATCTGGACCATCCATTTTCAAGATTTTAAGTGTTTATAGATTTACTTGATCGTTATTATTTTTAGAACTTTAAATTTCATAATTGATGGTAACAATAAATTTTCATAGCATCGCAAAGCTTTGCAGCATCAAAACCGTATTATCAGTATAGTTTTGAGGTGCACCTTACTTCAATAGTATAGGGTTAACCCCTAACAAACTTCACCTTCTTTAAACCAATGATTGTTTTTCAACATCTTCCAACAGTTTATATTCCCCAGTATATATTCCCCCATATATTAAAGTGGGTCAACCAACTTGGTCATCATACGCCAAAATAAATTTTTAGTTGTCAAATATTTACCATGATCTAGACAAAACAATAATGAGTTGCCTATGGTCAAAGCAACATAAAGTTTAAAAACCGTATGGATGCAAGTGATAAAAGTTGATAAATCAACAAAGGAGATTTCAATTTGGAATCTGGACCTATGGTTTTGCCAAGAACTTGCATAGAATTATAATATCCATTATTTACAATTGGCAAAAGCCACAAACATTAATTTTTATTTTTCTTCTGTTTTTTTCCTTTTTTTTTTAACTTTTCACAAATATTAAGCTATCCATAATACAGTCAACTATTGCCGAGGAAGTTTGGCATCGGCGCAGCTTTGTAAAGCCGCACTTCAACTCTTGCCGAAAAATGCAGATCCAATTATGGAGAACATGTAAATCAATTATCTCAACTTTGAGAATTATAGATAAAAAAACTGCTTTAACTCAAAATAAATAAAAATGTATATAATGAGACCATTAGCTTTTGATACTTTGATACGAGAAGGTCACGATCATCGTTGACCGTAAGATTTGAAATTGGGTGGTTAAGGATGTGTCAGTAGTTAGACACAAAGTCTAAAATAAAATTTTTTAAATGATGTAACACATTTTCATCTATTAGATTTCACATCCAATTACTAAAAATGATTGTGACCTCCTTGTACCAAAATAAATGGTCTCATAATATACAATCCCTAATAATAATGTATCTTGGAACGATTTTTTTGGATTGCCTATTTAATTTTTTAATATATCTACTACATTTCACCATTTTTAAATTTTAACTTCCATGGATGAAAATAGAATGATAGAATTTTAAGACATCATCCTCTCCCCCCCAAAAAAAAAAAAAACAAAACAAAACAAAAAAAACTACTTTTTCCCATGGAGTTTTGAAGTACGGCTTTACCAAATACCGTGAAGCAAATCATGTGGGGACAGCTTAGTTGGGCGAGGGTCAAATAAGATCCAAAGGCCAGGTTTGATCCACGGTCACGACAAGTATTATTTTGAAAATGGGCTCAGGTCTAGGCGGTAGTATTGTTGAGTCTCTAACTCCATTCTCACTAAAGGGCAGGGCCCCCAATCCTTTCTAACATACCTTTTTTATTTACCCAAAAACATAAGAATACCGTGAAGCATTTATATCAATAAATGATAAGCTTGCTATTTGAATTTTTTTTTTTTTTTTTGCTTGAGAACCTATTATGTGGGAAAAATTACCGGTATTTGCATGAAGATTATCTATAAAGAGACCATTTATCTTTTGTATATAAAAGTCAAAATCATTCTTGTCTCTTAAATTTCAAAATAGATGATTGTAAGAGTGTTTTTGAATAGACATAAAGCTCCAAACAAAATTTCTTGGACTTTATGACTCACTCCAAGTTATCCAATTTAACATGTAACAAATGATAATGATTTTGATTTTCATGTACAAAAGATAAATAGTCTTTTTGTAGACAATCCCATTTACATACGGGTATAACAAAAATATACCAATCAAATAGCAACCTCTATAAGGATATATTTGATAATTGACATGACGCTGCACATATTATATGAACACAAGTTTCCCTAATTTACATGAGTTTTTGTTAAGGTACTCCAATTGAATATATACTTAATGTACTCAATTTTTTTAGGCACTTGATGCCATTATCCTATAATGTTATAACTTTTTATCTAAGATTATTTTAAGTATCTGTGTGATTTATATGAGGCTGACGCTCTAAACAATCAAAGTAAAGCACCCATTCAAATAGTATCAAAAGATGTTTCAATACTAAAAATCTTTGTGATGACCTGGAAATTTATTTTCATCTCTAATTACAAAACTTAAAACTTCAATAGTATAGATTAGATTGAACAGATATATGAACACTAAAAAATCTTGAATATTGACGGTTTGAAAATTCATCATAAGATGCACTATTTCCAACACTTTAAATCTAATTTTCTCATTCTCATACATCTTAAGATCCAGATGATCAACATCAGGATTTTTGGGCTTCGAAACAATATCTTTTAATGAATTTTAATGTACGCCCTAAATTGATTGTTTATAGCCTCCACGGATATAAACATTTTCTTTTAAGTATTTAGTCAAAGGTAAAATATAAACTTTTAATAGAAACAAAAGTATTTATTTCCCACTGAATTGTCCAAAAAATATATATTTATTAACTATAATATACATACATCACCCACATGAAATATTACTTGTTTTTTAATTATTAATTGAATACCACTAGTTTTTTACATAAATATTCATTCTAACCCACGACAAAAAAAAAAAAAAAATACTTCCTATTACATATGAAGGGTATCAAATATAAAAAAATATTGAGTACATTAAGATAGGAGTACCCTAACAAAAACCTTTTACACAAAAAAGTACTTCACCAAACGAAAATTCCTTAGACAACACTAGCATGCAGCCTAACCCACAGAGCCAAGGCAAGAGAGAGAGAGAGAGAGGGAGAGAGTTTCAGCCTTCAGAGACCTGAGTTAACGCACATTCTCATTAAAATATGAGACCTGTTTCTCAAAAGAAAGGAGATAACAGATATACAATATTGCCGAATAAGTTAAACTTTCAAATACCTCTTCAGCAGATACATACAAGAAAAGTCAGCACAACAATAACGAGCCAGTTCATCAGAGAAGGAAGGAAACAAAAGTACAACCAGTAGAGAGAGAGAGAAGTGGGGGGGTCAATGAATAAATAGTGGAGGCAGCAAATGTGGAATGTTAATCAAGGTGGCGTTTATGTAATGAATTCATATCAAAGGAGGCAGCAACTGTGTTTGTGTATGTGTGTGTGAGAGAGAGAGCGGCAGGCTAGAAGATGTTGAACTGGCTAGTGAGAGAATCCCTGAGGTTCGAGTACAGGCCATAGAGAGAATACTGCCTGAGCTTGTCAACCTCGTACCAGGAGTTGAGCACAACCTGGTGCTTGTCTGTGCCTGAGAAAGCTGTTTGGATGCCAAGGCTGCAGTCAACTGAGCCTCCATGGCCCATACAGCTAGATTGGTTAATTGCACAGTCCTGGGAATTCAAGCAAGTGAAGTTTGGGTTTCGCTTGCAAGAAGCACATCCATCTCTTTTCCAATACAAGTTTTGCAATGTTCCCTTCTCAAACTCGAGCACCTAATATTATTATACACGCAAACATGAGAATTATGTATAGAGATGACACTGCTGTCAAAGCCAAACCCATAATTTTCTCTTTGTGATGTTCTTGGTAGTTGCCCTTGAATTTCTCCTTTTCACAAGGGAAACCATAAAACAGCTGAGGGTAACAACAACAACATATGCAACAATAACAATGCTTACTTAAAGGTATTTTCTTACCAAGGTAAAGCTGGTTACTATGAAAGTTGAGTTTGCGACAAAGGTTGGAGTGGATCGAGCAGCATATCTTTGGCCTGCAAATGCAACCATGTACCCACCAAATGCCTCCTGGGAAAGGCAATACGAGTTACGGTCAATGTGATAATAAACAAAATGCTGCTAAATTGCTATGTTATGTTATTTTTATCAATATCTTATAATAGTGAAAAAGATGCTTTAAAGGGGTCCACACATCGCCATCAACATTTGGAGCCCCAGAAAATGAAGGGGACATTCAGAACATAAGGATCATTTAGGAATTGCGGGAGATAGGCACACAAGAAACCTCCCCACGTCCTTGTGTACCATAATGAGCACACATGGGGAATAAACAGGTGAGGAACAAGCTCTGCCCCTCTGCCCCTAGAAGTGTGAACCAAGCCCACTAGAGAATAATGGAACATGATATCCAGTGTAAACTTCTTGGTTAGGCCATTTGGTGCAAAAAAAAGCTTTTATTGAGATCAAGCCTTCTCCCCTACTCCTCCCTTTGACATGGCCAGATGAAAAGGTTGCCCATGCCAAGAACCCACCTTGTTATTTTGTGCACGTGCGCCAAGAAATGTCAAGCTCAATCCTTATAAGAATAAGCCTGAAAAACTTTTAACCACTACACAGAATAAATAGGCAAATCAAAATCACTGGTTTCGTCAGTTCTCTTCAATAAAGAACAATGACAAGTGGTGAGTCAGCAGAACATCCACTTAAAATCCATGTGATATTTCAGAAGGTTTGATTAAGAACAGTGCTATACTACTGAGAGTCAGAATTGGCTTCATTGGTTACAGCATTGATATGTGCAACATTAACACCCCAAGTGTGAATCCTGTGCTGACCTCTACCCAGGAAACGAACATACCCACCCAAACCACAGGAGTGACAGCAGAGAGACTTGCTTCACAACCCATAGCCGAGGAGAAAAGAAATGCAAACTGTTAACACACCAAGGCAAAAGGGTGATACTTGCAGCTGAAGAAACAAAAACCAAATATGCAGAGGGATGAGACATGAAACAAGTAGGTCAACCAGGAAGATAGAGGTTCACGTCAAGTATCCAAGCTAAACACCACAAGAAACAAGTCAAAGAATAAACAGAGGGAATTACAATGCCCCACAAGAGCATGAACGAAAACTTGAAAGTTTTCCAAATAGGAGTCCATAAAATAGAAATATGTGAAAATGTGGTTTGACAAGCAGCAGATTGATAAATAACAGAAACAAAAAAGCTAAGCAGCAGGATTGGGAGACAATGAATTGGAGGGCTAAATCAAAATGTTTATGAGAACTGCTGAGGCATGTAGACAGTATTGAATTACATCACGGCAAGAAGTAGCAACTGCATGCTCCCTGAACCCCACTTTGGCCAATTATAGTGTCCAAAGATTGAAGAAAGTGGGGGGTGACATGATTTTTTCCAGAAGAAAGCATTGACATGCTATACATTTTGCAGGATATTCGACTCCTTAAAATAAACTTAAGATGTGATGCTTGAATGGATTGATAATCAAAAGGAAAGCAGTTTGGCAGAGTCTCAGGAGCTCGAATGTTTTGAGGATAAGACTAGTTTGTCAAAGAGAGATACATTACAGGAGTTGAGCTAAAAAAAGATCACTTTCAAGACATCATTAAGGGGTCGTTTGGTTCGCGTGAAATGGTTTAATAAGAAAATCTTTATAGGAAAAATATTAACACATGCAAACAATCTACAGGGTTACTAAAGCCTACTTTTTTCAATGTTTGATTAACACACTTGGAAACAAGGAGAGAGAGAGAGAGCGAGAGAGAGAGCATGGACAAAAAATAAGCATCTATAAAAAGATTGCAAGAATACTTAGAAATTGCCAGAGTATAATCAATAATCAGATTTGACCGAATTTATAAAAGAATTTGTTTGGGTTTTCTGTTTTCTTTTATTTTTGTTCATTAGATATATGTTTTGGCCTGAGGGTTTCTTGGTATAAAATTATGCATTATTTGAAGCTAAATAGCCACAAACAAGTATAATTCTATACCAAAAAAATTCCAAGCCAAAGCATTCACTCAATGAACAAAAATAAAGAAACCATGAAAACCCAAACAAGTATCCACCAAATAGCGTTACTGATACCAAAACTCAATCCCCCATTCTTCTGATTCATCGTCGTCATCAGAGCCTTTTCCCAACTAATTAGGTTGGCTACATGAATCCCGATACGCCATTATGCTCTATTAAGGTCATACCGTCAGTAGAGTCATAAGTCCCCATATCTTTTCTCATTACTTCCAACCAATGTTCAATAAGTCGGAGGAGGCGGCCACCTAGGTGGTGGGGGGTTGGGCCTCATAAGCAGGTGGCCAAACCCAAAACAGCTGGTGCTTTTTTTTTTTTTTTTAAGTTGGATCCTCCACATCTCTTTCATTTATTGTATATGTTATATAATAATACTTACGCATTAATACTATTTTTTTGATTTATCAATAAATTAATTAATGTTACATGTAAAAAAAAAATTTGTAGTTATTATTCTTGGGTTCCTAATAAATAAATTACTATCACATGCTAAAGGCATTTTCGATAAATTAGTAATTACAAATTAATACTATTTTTTTGGTTTCACAATAAATTAATAATTAATGTTACATGCAAAAAACATTGTCGTAGTTATTATTTTGGGTTCCCAATAAATTAATTACTATCACATCGCATTTTCAATAAATCAGTAATTATGAATTAATACTATTTGTTTTGTTTCTCAATAAACTAATGCAAAAATAATTTCCGTAATTATTATTTTTGGATTCCCAATAAATTAATTACTATCACAGCATTTCGATAAATTAGTGTAATTACGAATTAATACTATTTTTTGGTTTTCCAATAAATTAATAATTAATGTTACATGCAAAAGGCATTTTCGTAGCGATTATTTTTGGGTTCCCAATAAATTAATTACTATCAAATGCAAAAAGCATTTTCAATAAATTAGTAATTACGTATTAATACTATTTTTTTGATTTTTCAATAAATTAATAATTAATGTTACATGCAAAAAGCATTTTCATAGTTATGATTTTTAGGTTCCCAATAAATTAATTACTATCACATACAAAAAAAATTTTCGATAAATTAGTAATTACGAATTAATACTATTTTTTTATTTTTCAATAAATTAATAATTAATATTAAATGCAGAAAACATTTTGGTTATCATTTTTGAGTTTCCAATAAATTAATTACTATCACATGCAAAAAAAATATTCGATAAATTAAATTAATACTATTCTTTTGGTTTTTTAATAAATTAATAATTAATGTTACATACAAAAAAACATATTCGTAATTATTATTTTTGGGTTCCCAATAAATTAATTCCTATCACATGCAAAAGGCATTTTCGAGAAATCAGTAATTATGAATTAATATTATTTTTTTGAGGGGATAAAATGACTTTTTTTGCAAGCCCGAATTTTTTTTCCCGCCATACCCCTGCAGGACGCCTAGGCGAGGGTGCCTTTTACCGCCTAATCAACCGCCCGACCGCCAAGGTAGGCACCTAGTTCTGGCACCTTACAGTAACCACCTTAAGAACACATAGGCGTTTTTTCTAAAAAGCCGCTTAGGCGGTCGGGCGGTCGACTTTTTGAACATTGCTTCCAACCTTGTCTTTTTTGGATACCTTTTGCCTTTTAATTTTTAATCCTCCATTCTTCTTATTCTCAACAAAAATCTAGAAACCATGAAAACCCAAACAACATATCCACAAAATAGCTAGTCTAGCGGTAAATCTGATCCCCATTCCTCTCATTCTTGAGTAATCATAAATAAAAAATGGAAACAAAACATATATAAAGTATTTCTAGAGAAACCCAAATAATGGAAACCCTAGATACATGACAAAGAGAAGTTGGCTCAAAATAGGTAAAAAAGGGTAAAATTTGGCCAAAAAAGGACACCCTCAATTCATGGCAGGGAGAAAGCAGAGGAGCACAACACTTACCGGTGTAAAGGTCGTGGTGTTAATAGTGAGAAGAGAGATTTGGTCCACCTTGGGCCTGAATATTGCAAGCTGGGCGTTGCTTGTAGAGAGAGAAAGTCTTCGATCACAAGGAGAGAGTTGTGTGGTATCATTAACAAAGAATGAGGGCCTCAAAGAGAAGGCAATGCCAAATGTGAAGCCATCTGATTTCTGGATCTTTGCGTCTTCGCATGGCTGGAACACATTGTTATTGTCATCTGCCATGGCCACAATTGCCACCATTGCAATAATGACTACATTCTGTGCCCCAAACAAATACAGTTGTTTTCCCATCGCCAAATCGATTAGTTTTTTGAAAGCTTTATCTAAGGACTTTACCAGTCCAAAACTCTAATTATAGGCTAGGACACCTGTATACATAAGCAATAATGAACATTCAGAACTTTTTAATGGAAAACATGAAAAGGAGAAGAATTCCACCAAAAATTCGAAGCTGAAAAAGAGAGAGAGAGAGAGAGAGAGAGAGAGAGAGAGAGAGAAGAGAGAGGCGATCTATTAGTAATACGTAGTAAAATTAAAGTAGGTAAGTAGGTAGTCGTTACGTAGTAGTAAAGTAGTAAAGACGTAATAGTAATTACGTAGT